AACTTATAAATTGATACAATTGAGTGATGAAAAATTTTAATAGTGCTCTTGAATCTCACGAAATATATAAACAAAATGAGTCAAGCTACATGGACGAGTCCAAGTTAATGGCTAAATCCCGACTTATGTGGCAATGAAAAAAACAAAGAAATAGAGAGAAAACAAGCAAAAAATGACTACAGCTGCCTTTTCCCTCCAAAAATTGCCTGCCATAATGTAAGCCCTATTAATGGGATGTCAATGATCCTGTCGAATAAGATTAATTGAAACAAAATAAGTAACATGAGTATTTGTGTATATAATTTATAAACATGAGCAAAATGTATTTTAAAGATAAGGGTATAGAAACTCAACATATCTCACCCCCATCTAACCTTGTTACCGTTAGCACTATCCAAAATCGTCGTTGCCACCTCAAATTCACTACTACCACCACCATCATCGTTGTAGCCACCTGCTGCTATACAGAACCTATGAAGAAAAGAAAAACAGAAGAAATTAAAAATGAATCTCATCTTCAAATTCCTTCAGTTCTCTGGTGCTATAAAAGTTTCAAGATCATTTTCATAGACAAGTTTATTCTATAAGGTTGGAAACATTGAGTTCGGTGTCGGGGAGTAGTGGATGGATGATCATGGGCTTTATGACAGGGGTAAAAAGGGTAGTTGGGTAGTTGATTTTCAGTACGGTGGTCTGAGCTAGTGGTGGTGACCGAACTTACAGATCTTCTCTGTAGAGAGAGAGTAGATAGAAAGATATATAATTTTTTTAAAATTAATAATAACTATTTTATTATGGAAAAAAATAATTTTATCTGATTTTTGAATTTGAAACTCTTGATTTTTTAAGTTGAAACTTAAAATGTTGGATTGAAGATAATTTTTTCATAAAATTAAAATCTTAATAGGTCTTTTTGGTGCAAAAAAGGTCCAAAACATTAAGGGCATGTTTTATGCAAATTTTATACAATACATTTTGTGAAATGTAAAATTTTTGGACAATGTATTATTCAAAAATAAGGAAAAGTTAGGATCCACATAAAAAAAAAAAATCGATTATTTAAAGAACGTAAGATTTAAAAGAATTCTGAAAATATGAGTTTTAAACAATTTTTACCAAACATACTATTTTTGAGGTCCATAACATCATTTGTCAAGCTGATATTAAACAAAATTTTAAAGAAACAATTCTTATATAATATGCAAGTGGAGTTTTAAGTGTTTAACACTAACAGTGAACTATATTAAAAAAAAAAAAAAATAACAACACAATAAACATGACCAAATTACTGAACTTATTCTCCTTAACGATATTATTTAATTTTAAATAGGTGAATAATATAACTCAAACTTATGAAATTTACATTCCGCAGAGTGGTTCACAAGTCATCTCTTCTAGCTCATATTTGAATTTTTCGACTGCCAATGGTGGCAAGCATATTGGTACCACAACTCCATCTTCTCCCTTACTGTTCTTGAAATTCGTACAAAAACTAAGATTTGAAGTGGCCCAAGCAACTCCACCATACACTGCATTGCCCCATCCAAGATCAATCTTCTCACCACGTAAACGGGTTATGTCTGAAACAAGGAAATTCCAATCCGTTGCATATTTTGGTCGTTTCTTGATCACTATAAGATCTGCCACTGATTTAATGTACTCTTCACTCATTTGAGCCTTAGCATTTTGAATTAATTGAACTGCATATGACAATGGAGCAGTGCATAAAATTCTGGCAGTGGACACTGCTGCCGGATAAACGAAAGCATTGCCGTAGTATCCAGTCGGTATTTTCAGGCCTGGCTTGCCACGCAAATTGGTAATGACTGAAAGACGAACAGTCTCGTCTGGATTAGATGGATTCAGTGCATTCGTACGACATTTCCATAAGCACGCTATTATGAGATCAAATCTTGAGCACCTACGAGAACTTCCTGACAAGGACAGACGATTATAAAGTGCTTGTATAACCTTAGGAGTAAAGAAAATGGAAGTCCGAAATAGCTTGTCCGAATCCATAAAGTCTCTGGATTGTCGTATTTGCTCAAATTCATGGTGCATGCATGTAATTCTTGGGGGAGATCTTGCATTCAAATATTGTTCTCTTTGCCATACAGGTGAAATAGAAGGTGCAGATGCACCTTTTATTAATTCAGAAATAGAATTTAGAAATTGCATCATTCCATAAGCATCCGCCATAGTGTGGTTCAATCGGATTCCCAAAGCAAATCCGCCACAGATGAATCTGGTAACCTGCATTTAGGATTAATTTAAATAATTCATTTCAGTACTTAGCTGATGAGTTGTCCAGCTTGATATACAGCACACACACTCTCGGTTCATATCATACTACCATCTATTTTATGAAAATTATATGCGCTAGGTTTTTTATGAAAATAATGAATTCATGGTGCACGTGAAGAAGTATACGTTCACATACCTGTTGGATACCGTGTCCTTATTCACACAACCAAACGTACAAGGATTGATACCTTGTACTTGAAATTTGTAGTGTTAATTATTTCAATATTTGGGGTTGTGATTTGTCCTTAATAACAAAAACAATTTAAGGAGAGTACTAGTATACTTGGAATGTAATTAATAGACCACATGTCAAGTTTAATTTTATAGCATGATTTTGTAGAAAATAAATTCCACTTGAGCTCCAGGTATATTATCTAAATTCTAGACAAGATTGTGTCTATCCACCTGGGAATTCAATGGCTCTATAATTCACCAATAGGTGATATCACTTAGATTGATCAAATAAATTGATGAATTGAGAATTTGAGAATGAGCAAAGTACAAAATACGAATTCGTATCGAGAATCCTCGTCTTGAAAAAATCGATTTAGTGACCACTTTAAGTATTTTCTATTTAACAATTATAAATTTGAGCTCAATGTTTAGTCATTACCTAAACTTCAAAATCTGAGACTTGTTCAAAACACTATTGAAGAAAATCAAACTTAAGTTAATGAAAACAATTAGAGAGATATAATTGTTACTTATGCCAGTACCTAATTATTGGATATTGAATGGACATGTAGATTAGAGGAAAATACTATAGATCGCGGCCTTTTGCTTTTAGTGAGATAAAAAAAAAAAAACCAAACCTCGGTCTTTGGAGTCAACAGCCTTTGGTTCATTTCAGTAGCCCGAACGAGATTCGTCTTAAATCCTATAGGGAGCGAAGTGGGCCCTGGAAGGAGGGCACACGAGCGCGGGAGTTCTTCTCGACATGAGTATTTGTGTAGGGGATCATGAAAGCTTTCACAAGAAAGCGAGGATAGCCGGGCAAGTCCAGGCAAATAGCATCTTTCTAGCTTGCATATTCGCCATACCAACTTGTTTCTTGAATAGGTCCTAGTTGTAGGGCTCCTCATATGGTTACTAACCTCCGGATTTTCCTCTTGGAGATGTGTCCCAAAGATTAATAATTGG